TTAGCATGTGAAAAGCAGAGATGAGACGTATAACGATGGTTATAAGACATGATGTGTCTAAATCGATGCCTACTACAAATGTTGTGATGTTTTGTTGCAAGTAGTTTGATGCTGAGACTTCACCATTGTTGATAACTAAACCTAACACGCTTGATGTTTGCGTTACACAATTATCTCAATCTTTTGCTGCAACTTAGGAATTCTGTCGTATGATATAATTATATGAGAAATGTTACGGGAATTCTTTCAAAAGTGGAATTCTTTATAGATTTTCTGTCATCTCACAGTTTAACTTTAATTTCCGTTTTGAGAGTCCATGGAGAGTTCGTCCTAGGTCTTCCTGTTCCTACATCTGGCTTATGTTCTTTATGTAGATTCAGACTAATGGCTCTATAAAATTATGTCGATACTTCCACATATTATGGGTAATGTAGGAGACATCTCTATTTTTTTTTTCTAGGAGATCCTTGGAATTACCACTACTTAGCTTTCAATTCACCTCTAACCATGAATAGTTGACCCATGCAAGTGGCTCTCTACGACAGTGGTGGAGAGGTCTTGCATCACATCAAACTCTATCAGCTCACTAATCTAACATCTAATCTGACAAACATATCATTTTGACAATGAGATCACAATCCCTAAATCTTAATCGGATAATGGGCCGTTAAGGGGGGGGGGGTCAGTTTTGATTTCTCAACATTTTGAAAGCCCAACTACTTGCTGCTAAATCTTTTGCTTATTGTAGGACCATGTGTCTATGTCTGTCCAACACCAACAAAAGGAGAAATGTGCAGAAAGATTTCATTATGTTTCTAATGAACTGTTTTTGTATATTTGTCGGACCATCAAAGTATTTATATGCATGTAAGCAACAATATCTCAAGCAAATTACGCAAGGTTAGTTTTTAACTTTTTTACATAATAAAGCGTGATTAACCTGAAAGTCTTACGCAGAGGGACCACGATGTTCCCCGGCCCAACCTGGTATTTTTTTTTCATGCATAAAAATTTAGTGTTATGCTTATCTTTTCAAGGTTTTTCTATAGGCTTAAGAGTCCCAATCCGACGTTTTAGTTTGATTTCTTTTATCGGGTTTGATTTGAGATTGGTGGTTTCTATAGAGTTCAAACAATCCATTGCTTGTGAACTTTGAGGAGTAGGGAGAGAGGAGGAGAGTTAGAGAAGCTTAATGTTTAGGTTTAGGGAAGATGATGATGAGAATGACACCATAACAAATCCAAACATGGTAACCGATTGCAAACTACAGGGCAGAGTAATTTTTGTAAGATTAGGATAGCATTTCATATTGAGACATTTGGACTCCTAAACTAAATTCTGACTTCGCCATTTATCTTACGCATATGCATAGAACTAACTTGTAGATACTGAAGGAATGTTTTCCTATAGTGAAGGAGCTTGTAATCTCATTGAGAACTTCCTTACAACAAGAGCCGCCCCTATGGTCGTATCTCAAAACCAATCATACATTATCACATGAAAAAGTTGAAACATATAGCCGTGCATTATTGCCTTAAGATATTAAGAACTCAAGATTTCACCGTTATTATGATTAAGTATATAATTACACATAAATTGCTATACTAACAACATTAAAGCCGGAACACAGTGACGGCATAACTGCTCTGGGGAAAACATGCTGTTTGAAGCTGTACAAACGTCGAAAAAAAAAGAACTTTCATTCACATTCTGTAAAAACAACATTCTCGCCAACACGAGAAATCGAAAACCGAGTCGACGGGCGGCCGGTTATAGGATACATTACGCAGAGTCGTGGGTACAGAGGTTGTAACCAGATATGAGGGAGCTAAGCGCAAAGGCAACAAAAGCCAGGAAAGCCATGCTAACCGAAGCAGTGGCCATCTCCGTGAACTCATCTTTCCCCCAATTCGATTGCCAGTCATCCACCCGAGTGGCTGCAGATGATGATGCAGAAATGAGAAGGTATGCCAGCACCTGCAAAGTGAACCAACACCACAAAAGCACAATGCATTACTTATCAGTACACAAATCCTCAGCTTCCCTCGAGTTGAGGCAGTTTAACGGAACAGTAGTCAACTTAAAACAAAGGACTAACTACAAACGCAACAACAAATCAACGATCCACGTTTCATCCCTAATGCTTACACGGTTACACCCTAAATCTTAAAATGGCATCGCTTCGGTCTGAAGCATAATTCAAAAAGAGAAGCCTATTTCGGAAACAACAGACGTTAGGTCATGACCAACTCAGATAAGTTTTCAAGTCACTAACAGATGCTCATTACCTTCCGAATCAAAACTATACAAGCACACTTTTCCCTGAAGAAAAGTTATCATACTCCACTAAGTACTGACATATAAGGCAATACATTTAGCAATATAAATGTTAAACAGCGATGAAGACAGATGGGCGGGATGAGGAGCTTGCCTGATCCATGAAAAAATCAAAGTTGCAACGAAGACGGTGGCTGATCACGAACTTCCCGGTGACTAGATGGTAGGATAGATTGTAGGTTTGAAAGGCAGCATATGCAAATCCAATTACATTCACAGCTAAGCAATACCTGCAAAGTCAGCACATAATCTTCAATTCATCAATACATTATCTCGAAAAGTAAACAAAAATTCAAGAACCCAATTCACAGTCATGCAAATTGAGCGCAGTGACGTTCTAAGATTCATACAGTCGAGGCAACCCCACTTAGTGGGATAGTGTTGTTGCTAATTTAACTTAATCAGATAATCGAGATTAATAAAATTAAAATGGAAATTAAATTGAAACTCAGGGGGAGGAGAAACCTGTATTCCTTGTAGCGGTCGAAGGAGTCGCCGCTCCATCCCTGAGTCTTGTCCGCCGCCATAACCGAGAACGAAATCAAGCACAAAACCAACTCACTCACCCTAAACCCCAGCGCCGCCGTGTTCATCATCTCCCCCCTCTTCGACCGTCTCAGAATCGAATTCGTCACCCCCTTGGATCTCCCACCGCCTCCACCTCCGCCGCCAACACCGTTGACTCCGCCTTCCTCCCCGCCTCCAACACCGTTGACTACGCCGGTCGGCCCAACCTTCGACACGGACGGCGCCACCTCCTCCTTCACCGACCGGTTGTACACCACCACCGGCGACAGCGCCTTGGCGTTCTCCGGCCGCTTCTGATGCCGGGGCGGCGGGTACTGGTTGAACTTGTCGACGGGCATGATCGCCTTGGAGTTGTCGACCGGCTTCTCCGGCGAGTTCTCGGGGGACTGGTAAGGCGGGCTGTCGGTCGGGTCGAAGCCGTCGGATCGGATCGGGGAGTGGAATCGGAGGGGTGAGTCGTCGGAGTTCAAAGACCAGGACTTCTTCATGTTGGGATTGGATTTCTGGTGGTGGTGGTGGTTGGGTTTTTGGGATTGGGGTTGGGGTTGGGATTCCATTTGGCGCGCATAAAATTTTCTCGGGAGATTTATCGAGTGGGAAAAAAGAGTGTTTGGGAACTGAGAAAGTGAGAAGAGAAGTGATGGGGGTCGGATTCCGGAGTCTTTGAGTTGATGTTTTCGCGCTGTGAGGAATTGGCCCACGTGGAAAGCTTTCCTTCCCGCTTTACAACTAACTAAAGTGAGAAGCTGATTGAATCATACGACGTCGTTACCTGCCTCGTTTACACAAAGTTAGCAAATGACGAGTTAATCAACATACATGAGTTAACTCAGTCGGCCAGTGCGGTGAGCATGTCCTTCTATATTACTTAAGTTGTAAAAATTACCAACGTATTACTAAACCGGAGTATTATCTACTGAAACGTTTCATGTTTATATAATGTTATTTACCCATTTAACTTACATAATAATGTAATTTTAAGTTTTGAAACGTGCATCAGTTAGTCCTCACTCAAATATAATTTTTGAAAATTTTCATAAGTTTCAAAACAAACATGATATTTTCGTAAGTGTATGATTATCGTGTTGATTTATATTTGTAACAAAAAATAGATCAAAATGATAGCTAAAAGCTAAGTGCTAAGAGTGGTGGAAGAAAAAGAAAAAGAAAAAGGCAAGAGCTTTAAGAGGCTGAAGAGGAAGACGTGCATGGTAAGGTAACAAGCAAGAAAAACAAATAAAATGGTGGAAAATCCAAGCAAGGTAGCTTTTAAGTGGAAAAGCTTTCTTTATGTAAAGTTTTCTTTAATTCACAAGCGGGCTATCTTTCATCACCTATACTAAAGCCATAAATTCCTTCCCCAACTTTTCCATCTTGCTTCCATCTAAGATTCCTCCTCGGGAATTTAGGATTCTGGGAAATTTTAGTGTTAAAAGTACAAGATTTTCAGAGAGAAACAGAGCGTGAACGGCTCAAAAAAAAATTTCAATTTGGAAAATTTCAGTTCGCTCACTAAGGAATTTCGTAAAACACTTGGTGGGTTTGTTGTCGTCAGCCAAATTATGTTGCGCATATGTCAACATATATTGACATATACCGAAGCAATTTGATAAGTGAGATTTAGAAAATTTGTCGAGTGATGTTGACGTACTCGTTAGAATATGCATAGCAAATATTACATCAAACACTTGGTAAGCACAAAAGGAAACCGTCAAACATTATATGGTCCTCGGAAGATCATTTCCTATACTCCAGGTGGTCATGGGATCACCTTGATCCCGATGTACATTCACCTCTGCTCCGTGTAAAATTGTGAAAACAATTCAATAATAAAACACAGTTGTACAAAAAATATTTGATTATACTCTCTTACAAGACAGCCTGACGTGTTATGTTAATCACGGTGATTCAAATCGTCAGACAAAGATCATGGTCAATAGTTAGGCAAATCACTATTTCGAAGAAATATTATGCGCAAAACGACCAAGAAAAGCATCTCCTTTAATCACTTCAGTCTGTGTATCTATCATGTTTATTGATCACGTTGGCTTTAAGGTTTAAATTAACCAAAAAGAAAGCACCAAGAAGTTTGCTTTTTCTCCCTTTAAGCAACCACAAGATATTTCTCCATCAAGTTTGATGAGTTACCATCGTCTAATCCACCAACCAGTCATGATAAGAAACCATGTTTGTACGATAAAATATTAACAGTCGACACAGAGAAACCGGGCAGTATCCGGAAATGTTCACGACCTGGAGCATCATCGTAGTTACAGTACCGGTCGTGTATATATATATTTGGTCAGCAAAAATGATATAAAGCTCATGGAGTTACATGGGGGTAGCAGATGGAAGTTGAATATGGGAGGAAACTAGAAACTAATAACTCCAGAGTGCGTACTTGAAGTAGGCGGCGCTAACTTCTTTGCTCAGATACGGTACACTTGAAGAACTCTTCTCTGACATCTGTCTGCCATATCGAAGTTGTAAGAACTCGAAAAGATTAGGAATCATCGGTTCATTCTGGTAGTTTCAGGCGGTTGAACAGTACAAGGAAACTTTGCTCGGGGACGATGTAAAGAAAACCAAGATCTGCACTTTTGATGTATGGTCCAATGCCCTGCACACGAAGTTGCAAACATCAAGCAAAAGAAGGAAAACGTTGGAAAATACGAGGCCGGTTCTTTGAGAGTTTTCTGGCTAATCAGATTGTATAAAGTAAAGCTAGTAGGTATACTGAACCGGTCTCTTCACCTTGTTACTGAGTTGGAGAAGTTCTCCTTCAACCCACTGTGGATTCCGGAACCCAAATTCTGCTATTCTTCCTTGTCCTTTGTAACTTGCTACCTGGATAAATGAACACCTAATCAGTAGCATATATCCAGAGTTTTATTTCGATGCAGCCTGAAAGACATTCTTTAATTCAATCCGTTATGATTATGATGCCAAAAAAGAGTATATGCAACTTTTCCTTCACACAGTTCCTTGTGTGGGTTGAAATGATATCAGGAGAAATCATCATGTTACTTCACGAAACATGAGGCACGGGTACTTTAGAAAGACCCCTGGTAGGAAAAAGGGTATTAACAATTGTACACGCCAGTGAATATTTTTTATTAAGAACAGCAAAAAATTTCTTGATGCTTTATGCAAAACGAGCAGAAAGGGTTTTCTAAAACTGTTAGGCATGTGTTGATCTCCTAGTTTCCATGGTACTAAGCAAAACATGCTTCCTTGAGTTTTTGGTCTTGGATCTCTAGAAAGAGAGGAAAAAATAATAACAACAACCAACCAACACATGCACATACAAAGAGAAACGTCAGTATTATTACCACTCCTAACTCATCTGGATACAATCCACGGTTAGACTGGCGGTTCCCTCTCCCAATTTTAGCACGAAATGTCACCTGGATATGCAAAAATTGGTTTAGTACAGCATCACTGAGCATGTAGTAGCATAACTATCACGAAATTTAGAAAGCTATAAACCTGGCCAGCAGGAACATTCAGGTCCCCAGTTAGCTTAACTGCTTCAACATATTCGAAGAACTCCACATCTGAAGAGTCTTTGCCTTCTGAACTATTCCAGTGTCCGTACTTACGCCTGAGTTGCACTACCTCATTGCCATAAGGGCCAAATGCACCAACATACAGGCCTACACTTCAAACAGAATTCCTCAGAAGATTGTCCCTTTTCTAAGTAAAAAGTAAAAAGTGGAGGATAAGAAAACCGACCTTCAAATGGATCCAGATCTCCTCTTGAGGTGTTGAGCCGACTAAAATTTGTATACTCAGATAATCTATTCCGCTTCTGAGCTTGACTAACGGCAAACTTGACTATTTCACGCATATTCCTTGTCATCTGTTTATAATTTAACGGAAAACTACGAACTATGAGCAATTCACATCACTGTCAAGAAAAAAATAATATTGTGCCCAGAAGTAATGAGGATTTTGATAGATTTTTCAATTCAATCGTAACTGGTTAGTATCAGTCTGTTCTAGAATATAGATCTAAAACTGCAAAACCTTCCACCAGTTATGTGAATTAAAATATAAACCCAAACCTTTGGCATTGCCCACATAATTTATAGCTGAGCCAAACTCTGGCCATGATGCAAGCTTCCTAGAATTACTACATCTATAAAAGTAAAACGATAGAAAAAGGAAAGAGGTAGACATCAAGCAAGGGTAGTCCTTGGAAATTCCTGATGCTAAAAGCCTCATATGCCATGAGTCTACCATGTACAACAAAAGTATCCAACTCAAATGATTCTATTCATGAACCTAATTACTTTATACCAATTGAAAGAGATAGGTTTTTACTGTGTAAATTCCACATCTTATTTTACATTGGTCATAGAAGTTCAACTGACCTTTGAAGAGAGCTTGTCAGAATTAAAAAATGCCTTGGCAACCTCAGAAGGCATGAGCTCAGCGGCACTTTTAGGTGCTAGAGCTGCCACTTTGAACTTAGATGCTTTACTTTCTCTAGTGTCATGATCTAGGCTTCTCCCTGGAATATGCAGCACAAAAGAATCTTTCTCCACATCTTTGATTTCAGCAGGCCGACGCACATACTCATCCTTGCTAGAAGCATCCTCATTATTATGTACAACCCCACCAATAAAAAGTTTCATATCCAAATCCTTTTCATCTTCTATAGTATCGCTACCTTCTCCTAGAGTGACCTCATCAGGCTGTTTTTCATCCAAATTATCCACTTCATCTTCAGAATTCTCATCAGAATCTGACGAGACACTATTTTCTTGCATCAATTGGTTCGCAGAATTGTCATCCTCTATCACTTCCTTAGCAATATCAACATCCATGACTTTAACTTTCAGTCCAGGAATTTTTTTCTTAAGAAAATTTAACACACTTTTTATTCCCTCCTCCGTTGCTCCCTCAATATTAAGGCCCTTTTCCTCGCTGCTCTCGGCCTTACCTTCATTTTTCTGAACATCTACTAGGGTTGCATTCTCAAGTTCGGAAGTGGATGAGCCTTTTTCAGGTTTGGACGGTGTGACACTGGAGTTTGTTGAACTGCCTTTGGGTTGGTGTAAGTACACTACCTGCTAACAGATATGATATCAGAAGACCAGAGAGAGAGAGAGAGAGAGAGAGAGAGAGAGAGAGAGAGAGAGAGAATTTCACACGAACTGCATTAGACATGTGAAAGATAGTTCAATTGAAAGATCTGGTCCACAAGGCAATCTTCAACACTTACAAAATTTAAACGGCAAGCACATATATCAGATGAAATATTATTATTATTATCTACTAACCGCATCTGTACTCACCTGCATAACGTATGTCCCATCAGCATTTTTTACCACAAAAATTTCAAATAGGGGACTTCCTGGTGATGAAGCAACCAACTGTCTGCAACAAATAACAAATCAGTAATTTTCCCCAGTAGATAAAAAATAATTCAAAACCTAAAAGATCTTACCTTGGACTGTAACTCCTCCCAACGAATCTGCCCACGCCAGGAGTTATTCGTATTAGTCTTCCAAAAGGATCATCTGAATCTTTTGGGTAGCCAACCCACCAACCTACCTGTAGATACAGACAGAATCATTGAGGACACAGCGAAAATCCAACACAAAGCAGGCTTAATTAATCAGGCCTAACAATCAAATTCATAATAACATCTTAAGGATGCCAGGAAATGGAAAACTAGGCACTTTTCTGACTCGTGTTTCATGAACCATAGGCAATATAATCTATCAAGTTATCCATTTTACAATCAAGGACTCATATAATTAATGATCCATAAATCAGAAATGATAAAAATAGCTTCGTATGAACCTGACTCAACCAAGCAGGAGACGAGCATTAGAATTACATCAGCTTCAGAAACCATCTTAATCACATGCTAATCCATTATATTACAGTAAATGTATTGAAAAGGCCACAGTAAACACTTTGAAAAGGCTAATTCAATAAATAATAAACATAAAAGAACTCAATGTCACTGCAGTCCAAATAATCTCAACAGACACAAAAGTCTATATTTGTGTGGACCAAATGGAAATGGAATGTTTCAACTTTTGCAGAGAAAAGCACAAGGATTTATTATGTGTAGGACAAAACAGGGAAGGCAGTGGCATGTAGGTGATGGTACAGACACAAAGGTCTAATATATGATGAATGTAATCATTTCCTCCCCTCGACACTTTGGAGGCAGACAAAAACTGCCATGACTGCCATTAAAATTTATGTACAAAGGAAACCTGATAATATGATCTAACGTTAAACTGAGTTTCAAAAAATAAGCATTGTAGGAAAATTAACTCTTCAAGAAAGATAACTGAACTGACAAGACGTGTTGTTCAAAATTGGAAGAATCTGAACATATCCATGCAAACATAAGCAAACAGATCGTACTTTTGTCTAAAATCTGAAACAGAAATTTAAATCGATCTGTAAATGTTCTAAGCAGGAAATACACAATTAATTACATTACAGTATCGCAATTATAACTTGGTGCGATGCGCAGCAAGTGCCTTACGCATTATGAAAGTGAACGGTTATGGACTGTACAGCAAATCGGATCGGGTTAGAGCGCAGCCTCCTCTCATAAATCTCGGAAGTCTAACAGATAGCCACAGCGGTCTCTCCAGACCCCTGCGTAAGGGCGGTTGGCACGAGCCTTGTGCACTGGGTACGACCTTTTAAGTACACAATTATAATAGTATAAATGCTCAACTAACCTTCAATTGAGACATGATCTCAGCAACAGTGTCCTTTGATGTAGCTTCTGAAATAGACATTTTCAGTTTTGCAGCTTCCTCGAAATCTTCCTTCTCAATTGCATCTTCAAGTTGAAACTGCACATAGCAGCAAGTTATTAAAAATAATCAAAAGCACTTGTAATTCTTTATTTTTGGTTAAGTTCAGTTGAGCTTTATTTTTTATACGTGCAACAAGCTCTACCCACGGAGAACGGCCCTAAGCAACCGAGGCCACAGAAAAAATATCAATCTTTGCACTGGTACATGGTTCAGGTGAAAGTAAGAAAAGGCGGATGGAGCAACTTTTGTAACATCAATGTTCACCGCCATTTGAAAATTTAGCAACTTTACGAATTCCGTGAAACTTGCTAATCTGCCGGAGAACAGGGTAACAAACTCTCCACATCTTCCCAAACTTCTCATGCAATTCAAACAACGCAAAGTAAATCTCAAAATTCTCAAGAACCAAGTTCCAAAATTTGTTTTACGTTTCACAGCTGTCTTAGAAAAGGTTCCGAAAGGGCGAATTATGTTCTGTAAAACCATGAGAAATGGTAGCAAAAGGCACATGGATTTAAACAATTATAAAGCTCAAAGTAAAGAAAAATTGATGAGCTTGATCAATGATATATAACCATCAAAAGCTACGAACTTCAAGTAAATTCAGCTTACTTTTGGATTTATGAACTTTGCATTTCAACTAATAGAGTACTAAACATAAGTAATACTTCAGCAACTGGGAACTCTACATTGAAAACCAACAGAATTCCAATTAAATTCAGAAGCAACCATCCAAATAAGTGAAGCTATATAACCAAAAGCACTTATGAGCAAAAGTGCTTTGTACAAATCATATCATTTTCCAAAAACTAACGCTCTCTTACTGAATCAACTACACAACAATTGAAAATTCGATACAATTCAGCAACTGGGCAAAAAACAAAAAAACAAAAAAAAAACAGAAAACCCACATACCTTGAGAACAGAGGCGAAGCTCTCGGCCTGTTCGACCTCGGAGAAATGGCGGCTCCACCGATTCCAATCCCATTCCAACGACGACCCGGCACAGTCCTCACCGTAACTGTCGCTCTCACTGCACCTGCAGCACAAATTCGAGCTCTTCCGACTCCTGCTACTACTCGAAGACGAAGAAGATGAAAGCTTGGCCTGAACAGAGCAGCCCCAATTGAGAACAACGCTCAGATTTTTATTCGAAGTGTTGAATTTGGACTTGGTGTTGGGCAAGAAGCCGGAGCAGCAATTGGGTCCGAATTGGGGCAGTGGGATTGCTTGTCCCACGCCCCATCCATTGGCCACCGCCATCTCTCTCTCTCTCTCCTCCCCGCAATTCTCTGTGTGTTGGATTTTGTGGGGAATTTGAGAAATCAATATCTTCTGAGTTTTCTGTGTTTATATTGGAGCAATTGGAGACGAAAATTAAGACTGGAAGAGATATGGATAGAATCGCCCAGTTGACTGTTACAATTGCAAGTAAACCTGGCCCACTAGATTTATGGGTCCACTTTTTTTCTTACATTATCAAATTACTAATCCAACCATGCTTAACTGATAAGAGCGATCATGAATTCTTACTTAAAATTCTTCGTATTTAAATCATAAAGATTTGTATTTGTGATTAGAATTGTTCGTATTCTGAATTACTCTGTAAAGATCGTTTCTCAAAAAAAAAAAATGAATCAAAAAGATCGTTTTCACTTTTTTTAATTAGGACCTCATGCTCATCCTTTAAGAACCAATACTATATTATTCTTACTAACTGGATCAAATTTTCGTTTAGATTTGGTGGCATTTGATTTTCCCACTTTCAATTCAACTTCAATTCCTTTCTGGTAGGTACTTGACACGCGTAAACACTACCCGCAATTTGATGTGCGTGCATTTGTATAATTTTAATAAGTTATTTACGTATATGTGTTATTTGTGTAATTGTTGATAAACAGTAAGGAGCCAAACAATATCAATAGCGACTCTTTCGTTTTACGTACAAAGTGAGGGTGATTTATAAACTTGTCACTTTTGTTAGAAAATTCAAACTTAAGTGTACAAGGACGAGCATGTAACCCTAACTAAAGTGTAAGTGGTTTGTAAGGAGAGATTTTTAATGTGCGAAATATACAATTTGATACATTTAATGTCATAATTCCTGTAGTTGAATACTTAAAAATATTCAACCGCTTGTACCGATCCGCGTTTTCGAAATATTAAAAAATGTCTCATTTGTAAGGCTGTTATTAGATAAGTTAAACACGGGTAATAGCGATGTTTTATACGTGATAAGACTATATCCCTCTTTCAACCAAATACGCAGCTCATGGATGAGTGTTTGATCCACCACTTCTCTCCGCTGGTTGCCATGTGTCACAAGCTGCAAGGAAGAAAAATACAGCATGATAGTTTGGCAAAATTGGATGAGTGGACTACAAAATTAGGCTTACACGCTTTCGATAAAGGCTGTATGCCACGTGCATTGCCACTTGGCTTAAGACCTGCCCGGGGGACGGATCCGGATTCTCGTCGGATCCTCTTTGTAAGAATCTCGAAAATCCGTGAATCGTGTCCGTTCATCGTGCGGTCATAAATCATTTTAAATATTTTTATTTAAAAATAAACATAAACAATACTTGATAAAAATTAACCGCACGATGTACAATGAATGAATACGATTCACAGATTTCTAAAATCCTCACCAAAAGGATTCGGAGAGGTTCCTGTTGGCCTGGGGATCAAGGACCTAAGCTAGCTCTTGGTTAAGAAAATCCTGAATATGCTGACCGGGGATCAAGGACCCCACTTCATATTAATCGATCTTTCAGACGAGAAGGAAAATATTTGCATGAAGTGGAGAATGCTAAGGTGGCAGTGTCGTAAATTTATCATGCGTCGTGTTTGAACTTTCTGACATTAGGATAGCATGATTGGTTTTGGACACCCTGCAACTTAGCGTCCTCGTTTCATGTAAGTCCTCAGGATGAGGAAAACATTTCATGAGACAATCGGATCTGCATTGGTTAACCGATCACACCCAGTTCTCATATCCATGAATATGTATATCCATCGTTACAAGCAGAAACCATGGCAAAAAGCTTTAGACTTCTAGTAAGCAACCTTCCCTCAGCATGTGGGTTAGAAAATTGAGTTAGATTTTGGGTAATGTAAACCAGGAAAAGAGTCTATTGTTGTTGCCGGGAGGCGGACTCGACCACGATGATATGTTCAATGGAAGGTCCCGCCCTCGGGCTTGAAAGATCTCGAGTAGATGAATGAGCAATACCCCCTTCCTCAGCAGTTTCCAAAGCAGCGTCTGCCTCATTGCCTGCACCTGCATTTTCTGTACGGACTGGGCAGAATGCTCCCTGCAACCTCAACAAATGCCTCTGACTATCAGGTTGGGTTCTCACATACCGGTTGGTTGTCAACACACTGAGAGATGAACGCTCAGAGTCAGGACGGAGATTGGATATAGCACTGAGGTCGAGATTTGGGAAGACTGAGCAACGGCATCTGGGACATTTCACATTCAGTCGAAGCCACTCATCGATGCATTCTACATGGAAATTGTGAGCGCAAGGCAGGCCGCGAACCTGCAGAACTTCCAGAAAGAATCTGTTGTTGAACTTTGCAATAACTGAGCCACTATCAGAAGGTAAAATATGTACGGGCAATCTGTTTGTGAAATTGGGAGAGGTAGTCTGCATTGCTTAATGATAAGCTATGCACTTGATTCCTATTTTCTTAAAATTCTCTCAACATTTTACAGATAGCAACGGAAGGGGTCCATTGATCCAATTCTTATATAAACAATTTGGTAGTGAAACATAAGATTTGACTTCTACCCGAGAGACATGGAATAATTAAGATCGATGCGGTGTTTACAGTAGGATAGATAAAGGTCGTACCCAGTGCACAAGGCTCCCGCTTTACGCAGGGTCTGGGAGAGGTGAATGTCGGCTAGCCTTACCCCCATTTATGGAGAGGCTGCTCCCAAGTCTCGAACCCGAGACCTACCGCTCATGGGCGAAAGCACTTGCCATCGCACCAAGTGCGACCTCTTACAGTAGGATAGATATTCATAGAAAATTTACCTCGTTGCCTACATGAAACTCTTCCAAGCAGATCGGACATTCACTGCAATCAGTTGGAACAGCCTTCAGTCTGAACTTGGGAAGCTCCTGAATGAGTGCTTCAACTGCTTCTCTCTGTAACACCCACACAAGAACGTCAACCATCAGAACTCAACAATTAAAATATCAATAGTGAATTGATAAACAACAAATAATTCACAAGGAAAAAGGAACTGTCATTGAAGAGGTTAATATTTCTTTTTAGTATATCCCCTTATTACCAGTTAAGCACAGCAATTAATACACTTTCATACTAGGCCTCTAAAGTTCAAGCATGCTTGATAGAGTCTGAGACAGAGTAATGAGTTCACATACACGCAGGCATATGTGTCCGCAACACCCAGTAGAATCCGTTATCTCTATTTTCTAAGCATTGCTTTTGCCAATGCTAGTTTAAGCATAGAATTCATCCAAAATGATACAGCTTAAATAGCTTGAGTAACTACTATCATGATTTCAAACATCTGCATAGAATTTTATTATTATTATACATAATATGTTGTAAAAAGAGTGAGATAACAATTAGACACAAAACTGAACAAATGTGCGAATCTAAGGGCAAGCAGCTTCCTCAACAGGAGAATTTTGGGGTGGAGGTTACCTGTGCTTGAGTCAAGTAAAGTCCAGGTTGGAATGCAGCAGCATCTTGGCCCATCCCTCTTGTTTCTTGACCGGCAGCTTCAAATGCCCAATCTGGCACCCGAATCATATCAACCAAAACCTTAACAATGAGGAGAAATCATTACTATGAATGATAGGAAGAACTGGATCAACACAGAATAAAAGAACTTTGAACACTTAATCGGCAATCAACAGAAAGTGGGCGTGTGACATAGTCAAAACAGCATTATCATATATTGTCTATCTGGTACAATAGAAATACTGGCATGAGCTAATATGAGGAATAAAAACACTACGGGTCACCAATGAGAGGCTTAAGAGTGTACGACCACAGCAATAAAATTATGTTTGTACTACTATAAGTTAATATACATTCATAAATATTACAATAAAGGACACTTTCATAATGGGAAAACAAAAAATGACGTTTCAGTGTTTACCCCATATTCTGACACAGGAATCCCTTGCTGAGCTCGCAGTAAGTGTGCCTCCCTTCGTGTCAACCACTGAAAAAAAGGGGTTTGGAAATTAGGATAAGAACATCAAACTTCGAAATAAAATGTCCTGGTTGAATCTAGAAAATGGACAAAGCGCCACTAACCTTCCCAATTGACATGCAAGCAATGCAAAGTAGTGCACAGTAGCTAAAAAGTAACCAAATGAGAAAACCCCACTTCTGACCACTTTCAGGCAACTGCAAGCATTAAAATGCATTAGCATCGCCACTAAGATTGTTTAAACTTTAAAACACCACTCTTCTGCCAATGAACTAAGAAATATAACTTACACAGTCCTTCGATTTGTGAAACCACAGTGTACCAAGCACTGTCCAAGTCCAAAGAAATGGATAAAGCAGCAGAGAAAGAATCGAAAGGACCACTACTCTTCCGCAGAAACGAGCATATCTTTGCTGCCACCCAAAATCCCTAAAACCACAACAATTCGAAGGGAAACACAAAGGGTTTATGAACCATTCAAACTACAAATTGAATAAACTATGTAGCAGAGAAAGACTAAAGAAATGGCCTTACAAACCCATTCCAGAGGCAAGCCCATTATCCACAAACATCAACATCCGAAAAACAAACACAGTAGTGTAATCAACCTGAGATTAAAGCAAACATATTTCAAATAATCCCATATCAAAATTGCTTGGAATTCAGAGAATATATATAAATATCTATAAACCTACCACGATCCATATATGCAACGGGTACGCACAAGTATGGTACCGCTTCCAATTAATTCCAACAATCACTCTGTCACCAAACCCGTTAAAGAAAACGAATAATTGGGATTTCAGCCAGAAAATAAAAACCCTAATTTACAAGAAATTCAAGGATACACGCTCGTCGCGAGCATCGACAAGAAGAACCCATCGTACCTGCAAATGCAAAATCGTGGAAAATTCGACATCAAAATCCCTAAAATCCACACACAGAAATCGAGCGGCTGATTGAAAGAAAAGAAAGAAAGATGACTTACCACTTGAAATCGACGCCTCGGATGGCCATGGCGGACGGCGAGCTGTGCAGAAGAACCTTAGGCAGAAGGCGACAGCGAATTCCAAGACCCGACGATGCTCATTTGAAGAGATAAATTCTTGCAATCCTTCGTACGCAGAGATTGGGAGGAGGGAGATTCCGGAGAGAACAAAGCTGGCGAACAAGAAAGAGACTGATGAGAGAGAGAGAGAGAGAGAGAGAGTGAGAGACTGACGAGGACTTACTGTGAACTTTTGCTGACTGGTAATCTCTCTCTCTTCTTCCCAATTACTTGACGGCGTTATGACGGGCGTGAGTTTACTGCCTTTTACTTTTTGTTAATTTTAATTTATATTTATTTTTTTTAATCTTTTTGCAAAATGTATTTTTTTTTAACACGGACGCTATGCGCGATTTAAAAAAATAAATAAATAAATTAAGGAGAGGAGGATCAGAGTCAGACCCTTGACTTCGAATGTTACTGTGCAGAGGTGAATACCAAATGAGATACAAGTTTCTTTCAAACGTGGTAAAAGTCAGGCCATTAAATTGAATTAACCCTATTGTTTTCCAGTTGTTGCCATGTTCATCCTTATTTTATTAAAGATTTGTTGTCTTTGAACATAACATAGCATAACATTGAGTAAAAAAATAGAGTTTTAACGAAAAGCTCACGGTACTGTTCACTTTAATGAAAAACCACAGTTTTACACTAAAAAATCAAACATGATACTATTCATTTTACTTTTAACAAAACATTCTCGGTACTGTTTACTTTTAACGAAAAATTATATTTTTACCTTTAACTGACACTATTCACTATACCTTTAAAAAAGACTTTTCGTTAAAAGAGAAGTTTTTTTTTAACTTTTCGTAATTTTCCTTAAAAACTACTCCAATGTGGGGGCAAATCTTGAATGATCAGTCCACCGACCGACGACTCACATTCTGCAACTATCGTGCAAGATTTATCCCGTATTGGAGAAAATAGCACATTTCAGTATCTTGTGTTTGGAAAGATGATTACGTTAGTTACAATTTGGTGGCCTTAGGCATTTATATACAGCTGATGCAGGTTGCTTGTAAGTAGGTACACTATTGGTATCAACCAATCTGACTTCTGGTGCAAAAGAAAGTCCCCTTCCCCTGTGTAAATCTTAAAACAATTAAGCCAAGATCATCGAACTTCATGATTTTTACATACAAATAAAATGCGGAAATACATTAAACAACCAAATGTATCTTGATCCATCATAACGAACGCTATGAGATTCCAAACGGATTCTGTTAGCGGCGGATGAAATAGGTGTTCTCTCTCTTGCCTCTATTTGCACGTGAAAACCCTAATCGTGTTTTTCCTATCAAGTGTATATTAGATGGGTATATGCAATATATATAAGTGAGGCAGAGAGAGGACCCGTTTCCATTTAAAGCCCATAATCAATTACCACCTATCACAGTAATTTAATAGGAAACATTTCTCATAATTTGACCAATAGGATTATTTACAAATAATAATATCCGTTAAACCCTACATATCATATGAACCGTGTCATATGGACCATTTTAGAATATTAAAATATTCTTACACCCTGTGCCTGAAACTCAAAAGAATTACCACTTAAAATGCTTCCTTCGACACGATAATCGCGTTAAAGTAAAGAGTTTCGGATTACCTGCACAAGTCGAGTCCAATTATACCAGCTTGCAGGACTGTCAAATTGTCCGAGTGTGGTGAGACAATGATCACAGTGTCTTCAGAGTACTAAGTTTTGAGTATGGATATGAGTTGTATCACCCGAACGAACACGTCTGAGACGCTCTCGTTTGGAGAAAGAGTATCTGATGCATATACCTGATGTGAACTAGCAGAAGAAATGATCATACTTTGCTACTCGGTTGAAAAGAAAAAAAATCCTGATGACTTAAAGATATGGTTGTAAATTGGAAATGTTTACTTCTGAAACAGCTTCCAATCCACAGGCGTCGAGAAAGCTATACTCTGGGACGATATAACTGCATACAAAAGGACATGATGATTGCAGCAAGCTAACATCTTTGGACAGATTTATGAAGGTATACTTAATCAACAGGTTTTGAAAATGGCTGTATGATTCTGAATTGGCTTCGAAATTTCGACAATCATGGTCCTAATTCGGGTTAAAATGCTTAGAGAGAATGAGTTTTGATTGGGAAGGCCTCATCATGATAGCTCAATAAGAGAAGGAACAATGCAACTGGCATAAGCGCTTTTACTAGAATTAACAACTGGTCGAAAACTTTATTAAAAATCCCAAGTGTTTTATGAAGTAGAACCTCACAAAGCCCTTTGTTTTATTCTACCAAACATGTTCATAAGCACTTTTGGTTGCCAAAAAGCAGTTTTATGCAGTGTTCCAAGTAAATTAGTACTACTGCCACATGAAGCACTAGATTTCGCAGTTATTAATACTAACTTGTACACCTTCGACTGACCCCATTAACGGCTGCGATGATCTCTGCAGCCGGGTAAGCTCTCTGAGTGATAGAAGGCCATATCCAACAGTTCTTGCCACAAGCCCCCATTTCATTCAAATCGAAAGCCGACCTCACTGCCTGCTTCTTCCCCTTCTGCGACAACCCGTTATCGACAGAAGTTTTTGCAACCAGGTTCTTGTTGATTACTCCTATGCTCTCATACTCAAACTCCCATGCCCTCACCAGAAAATACCTTCCGGTTTGATAAACACAAAAAACAAGAGTAAAAAGCAATCAACGAATAAATAACTCAATAGTACCATGGCTATATATTAGCATCACGGGATATGTTTTTCGCACACCCTATTGCTTCTCATGCGCTTTCTCTTTATTTTCAAGCCTTAATTATTTAATAAAATAAAAAGAGAAACAAATGAACGAGTGCAAAAAAAGAAAACGGAAGCATGAAAATCACTACCCTTAGCATCATGTATGATGTATCACTAGTAAGGCTAAAAATGGGGTCAAAGTTTTCAGCTTTATAGAAACAAATAGCAATACAACACACAGTACTTGTTTTCCACCAACTTTTTGAATTTTCTCAGAAACCAAACAGCAATTCAAGTACAAAAAATGGGTTGTTGAATTGCTGGTTGGTGAGCCGAACTGGGGGCATCTGGAAGAGGCCGCGAGCAAAGGCTGCTTCTTGTGCTGACATGGGGCTGAGAAAATTGTGTGCAAAAGGGGTTGCGGCGATGGATACGGTGAGGGCGGCTAGGAGGCTGCAGCGGCCGATGGGTGGAATGATTTGATGGGTTTTGAGTTGTTGACGATGGATTTTGAGGAGTAGGAGTAGGGCGGGGGTTAAGGGAGGAAGCTGTTGCTAGCATTTTTGGCGGGTATATTGGGGGCGGACCGGAGTGAGCCTTAACTGATAGAATTTGTTTGTTTTGTGTTTTTGATTGAGTGTTTGAATCGGTTTCTTGGGAGGATAGTAGAGAATTGAAAAACAAAAAAGGAAAAATTGGAGATTGATTTCTGCTGTGCAATAATGCAGCAGACTTGATTGAATAAGTAGTGTGAACATTACACAAGAGTATGGTGCATTTCCATCACCCATACTTATCTAAAAAGGTGATTGACAAGAGGCTTTAACAACCATTAAGCCTTACTACTCCAGATTACATCCTAACCCTTCATTTGGGGTTAAGTGATTTAATCTGGAGTGTACACTTGTCACTCACACACTTACACAAACATTTAAAAAACAAAACTAGCCGTTGGAGACTAGAGCCCTTCATTTTCTTTCTTCTTCTTCGATGCAGATGACATCCTTTTGCTCGGGAGTATCTTGCTGCCTTCGACTCCCCGACTCCAGGAGCTGGTTAGCTTCCAACACTCCCTTCTAAACTGCTTCTGGGAGTCAATCCGAGCAAACCCCTCAGGTAATTGAATCTCTCCTTCGGTAGTGCTTTTGTGAATATGTATGCGATCTGATCTTCTGTGCTGCAATAGATTAGCTTGATTGTGTTGTCCTGCAATGTTTCTCTGATGAAATGATATCTTCTCTTGATGTGTTTTGTTCTCTGATGAAATACTGGGTTTTTAGTCATGGCAATTGCAGAGGTGTTGTCACACAGAAGTGGTGTGCCTTCAACTTGCAATTCGCCAAAATCTTTAAGTATGAACCTTAGCCAAATAGCTTGAGCTGTAGCTTCTGATGCACTCACATACTCTGCCTCGGCTGTGGACAGTGCAACACTTTGTTGCTTCACAGAGGCCCATGAAAATACCCCTGATCCGAAAGTGAAAGCATAGCCCGATGTGCTTCTACTATCATCCTCACTGCCACCCCAGTCACTGTCACAGAATCCAATTAGAATAGATGACTTTCCCATCTCATATTTGATACCATAATCAAGAGTTCCTTGTACATATCTTAGCACTCTCTTAGCTGTGCCCATATGTATCTTGCTAGGATTCTGCATAAACCTAGAAAGTAGGCTTGCTGAGAACATCAGATCCGGCCTTGTTGCAGTTAGATACAATAGACTGCCAACAATGCTTTTATAGAGACTAGCATCTGCAGGTTCACTTCCATCCTCCTTCTTGAGCTTCTCATTTGCAATTAAGGGTGTAGAAACTGGTTTGCAACCCTTCAAACCAAACTTCTCAAGCAAAGTTTCAGCATACTTCTTTTGATGAATAAAGATGCTACTTGTTTTTTGAATTACCCCAATGCCAAGAAAATGATGCAAGAGGCCTAGGTCAGTCATCTCATACCTCTTCATCATTTCTTCCTTGAACTCTTCCATCATTGCAGCATCATTTCCAGTGTAGACAACATCATCTACATAGATTGAGACAATGAGTGTCTTGTTGTTGCTTTCTGTCTTGGTGTAGAGTGTAGCTTCACTAGGACTTTTTTGAAATCCTTTCTCAATGAAATAGGAATCAATCTCACTGTACCAAGCTCTTGGAGCTTGTTTTAGGCCATAAAGAGCCTTCCTTAACTTGTACACTTTTTCTGGAAACTCTTGACTTGTGAACCCTTGAGGTTGTTCCACAAACACCTCCTCATCTAGCACTCCATTTAGAAATGCAGATTTAACATCTAATTGATGCAGCTTCCAACCCTTCTTGGCTGCTAGTGCTATCAAAGTCCTTATGGTGTCTAACCTTGCTGCTGGAGCAAAGGTTTCATTGAAGTCTACACCAGGTTTCTGTGAGTAACCTTTGGCCACTAACCTGGCCTTGTTCTTTTGCACAGAACCATCTAGATTTAGCTTCACTTTGTACACCCATTTTACTCCAATCACAGGCTTCTCACTTGGTCGATTTACAAGTTCCCAAGTGTCATTCTTTTCTATCATTTCAAGCTCTTCCTTCATTGCTTTCTTCCAAGCTTTGTCTTTCTCAGCTTCTTCATACG